GGTGTGTGTCCATCCCCGGAGGAGCCGCTGTAGTTTGGGCGTGCGCTAAAGGGCGGCCTGGGCCGCGCTCCTGCCCGTCAGTGCGGGGCCTGGTGTCCCCAGGGGTTAGCCTCGGCCAGCTCTCCCGCCCGGCCTGTGGCACCGCGGGAGCAGCAGCAGCGATAACCTCGGGGAGGGGAGAGGATAGAAGGCTATTCTTTTCCCTGGCGGTGCCAAATTATGACAAACGTTAGCATGTTTCTCTCGCATACTATCTTAGAAACTCTGCTACAGTCTGTAGCCCTGGTCAGTGCCAGGCAGGACATCCAAGCACTGACAGTTTAGTTTTCCTCAACATCTTCCTGAAAAGGCTGGGAGTTTCTTTGGTCTTTCTTGTGGTAAATTTTAAAACAATTCAGTGTCACTACTTACATTACTACATCTTTTGTGCTGCATTGGTAAACTTGTTATTCCAAGAGAACTGTTTTGGTGATTTCAATGTACAGCATAGGAAAGGTGAAACTTCCATTGCCATTCCCTGTCCTATAATTTTGTACTTCTTGCGTTAATATTAACAAGTCCAGTGGTTGCTGAGCTAGCAACAAGAAATACTCTCTTTTAATAAATGTGATTTTTATGACATACAGTTGGAGATATATGACTAATTTAATTCCATTTCTCCTTTAAAAAGCTCTTGATCTCAAAATCAGTTTCAAAGCTAACTAGAAAAAATGCCATGATATGCATCCACAGTTTCTTTTCCCCAAAGAATGGATGGCTCGCTTGCAAATTTGTGTTCTACGTCGTATTTCACTTGGGTAATCTCCTTAGTATGGAATGAGGAGGATACTTTTTGTGATACAGTGGGATTATCAGCAATAATAGAAAGATAAATTATTTAATTAGTTCATCAATTAACTGGTCTTCTTTGGTGTCTTGCAGGTTCAGCTGGTTTCAGAACACTGAAGAACATGAGTAATATGGAATCACCAGATTTCTAGTAATGAAATTAAATCTCTTCCATCCAGTCTGCTCCATGCCCATTCCTACCCTCATGCAGACTTCCCTCTTCCAAACTCAGATTTATGTTTTTGTGCTGTTCCAATCTCAATTTGTTATTTTAACTTTAGGGCATATAACTTTATGATGCTAGAAAAAATATGTAAGCTACTAGCCTTCTCTACTATTTTGATTTGAAAAATGAATGCCAAGAAAGTATTGGGGATGGTTAACAAGAGGGCCCCTGGGCTAAAACACAAGTAGAATTATCCTAATCTCAGACTGAATTACTTCACAGATTATGTATCTCTGAGCTTTTGCTTTATACTTGAGTGCCATGGACAAAGGCTAAATATGTTATGGCTTGTCCAACTCTTTAGTTACCTGGTGTGTGTTGAGACATGTTCTCAAAACAGCATACGCTTTTTTAAGAAAAGAAAAAAAAACTTTTTAAAATAAATACTGTATAGATTGCAACTGGTTCTGCATATGCCAACATTGAAAAAAGAAGGATTACTCGCCAGAAGACAAAATCATGTTAATCAGTTTAAAGCACAGTGGTTAAATTACAAAGCAAAATTATCTGAGCAGGTTTTATAGCTTATTTTATCCCATGTGCAAATTTACTACTGTGTTAGAAAAAGAACAGTATTGAAGGGTTTCTGTAAACCTGGTATCTTGTTGTGGGTTTCTGGAGTGTAACCCATGAGTTAAGACGATTATGCAGCTTGAAAGACATCTCATTCTGTCCTCAGCCTTTTAACTACTCAGGGCCTTAGGAGAAGCCTTTTTTTCAGGCCTCGGCTGCTGCTCTCCCTCTGCGCAGCACTAAGGAGAAACTGCAAGGTCTCTTCCAGAAGCTGTAACTTGTGGGAGTTTTCACCTTTGAGGGCAGAAGTTGAAATACCATCTAGGCCAACACTCTGTCCTTGGAAGTGAAGCAGGAAGCAGGTTCAGAGCACCCTCTCCATCCAACCAGAGCCAGAGGTGGGTAAAGATCTTTATGGGAGCAGTGAAAGGCTGGCAGCTTCTCATTCTTGGGTCAGCTTCCAATGTTCTAGCTGCTCAAGATGGATTTTTATGTGACCACCAGCTCAATTTAATTTTTATTTAAAGGCTTCTAGGAGGAAAACTGCTTTGAGGATCCACACTGATGTATTTTAAGAGATTTTATGGTCTACATCTACTCCTGATTTCTCTTTGTGGAGTTTTCCACAAACATTTTCATTCATCTTCCTTGTGTCTGCAGTCAAAGAAAACTATTAGAATTCTACCACGTCCTTTAATGTCAGCCAAAAGTGTGTTAAATGGCCAAGTTAACAAAACAGAAATTAAAATGAAGGCAGACACTGATGCCTAGTAAGAGGTACTACAATACAGATTTGTTTTATGAGAAACAAGTGCCTAGAAATGTTTTGTGGGAAAAACACCTTCACTGACTCCACTGCTATTTGTATAAAAAAATGGAATTGCTTGATGAAAACCTACCAAATTATACCACATAATTCATGACCTGAACATTTAATTTCAGGGGAAAAAAAAAAAAAAATCACCTTTTGAGAAGGTAGTTTGTTCATGTGAACTCCAGTGAAATGTCATGCCTTATATGAAACTTTACACCAAGTTTCTCTATGCAGGCAATTCAAAGAATAAACTTCTCCCCTCAGAACTGTGATGTGTTTATAATACAGTCAAGCCCTCTGGTCTGATTTTTCACAAGCTGTTCTGCTGTGAAAAAGGGGTCCCCTTTTTAATTTACACAAATATACTAAAATACTGAAGACTCCATTTGTACACACAAGTGGTCAAAACTTGTTTTGACAGCTGTTGGTACTTAAATTTTCTAATGTATCTTGCAGTTGTTAAGGCAGTATTCACAGATGTGAAGTGAGAAAATCAGCAGTAAAAATGGTTTGCTATTTCCTACCACTTTTAAAACAGAGCAGTTTCTTCATGAACTGCATAGTTACATTGTAACATTCACTATGAATGTTAAACTCTTACTGGAGCTAAAAATAAAATAAGGCAATTTGTGAAGGGAAAAAAAAAAATCTATAGAGTTGTTAAACCTAAAATATTACCTCCAGCTGGGAAAGCCCCTGAGCCGAGGACTAGGACACCAGTAATAGAAGTAGCAGTGTGTTTATCCTGCGGTTACGCTCCCCCCTGGCAGCAGCCATCAGCCGCCAGTAGAAGCACGGCACTGGACTGTACGTGTGTTTGGCCAAGTCCCGCTTCTGCAAGTGGGCGAGGATGTACAAGAGGAGGTCGCCACGCTGCCGGTGGTCTCTGCTGAGGGGGAGAGAAGGGCGTCTGGGGACGCGGAACAGCACAAGGACCGCCGAGAGCAGCGGAAACAAAGGGCAGCGAGAGGAGGAGAAGGCAGCTCTTGCAGGCACACCGCGCCTCGGGAGGGTGGGGGAGGCACAGCCGAGGTGAGTCCCGGCGGCTGGCAACACACAGAGCGGGGAACCGGCCGTGCGCGCCCGGCCCGCGCGGCGGGACCGGCTCCGCGGGGAGGGCAGC